ACCCGGGACCAGACCCGAGACCAGACCCGGGACCAGACCCGGGACCAAACCCGGGACCAGAGCCGGGACCAGACCCCGGACCAGCAGGATTATAGGACTTTGTACAGGATTTTTTTTTTCTTTCTTTAACATTTGGTTTCTGTTTTCTGGGACTTTGGCGTAAACACACAAGAAGCTGCGTTTCCGTTTCTTTTTCTTTCTTTCTTTCTTTTTTTAGAAAATATTGTGATATTTTATTAAAAATTTTGCAGAAAAGGTTTATACAGGTGTCCAGCCAGAAACATGTCTAATGTCACTTAAGGCAAAACTGCAAAGAAAGCAAAGACAAACTCAGGATTTCAAAACTCTACGTTAAAAACCGCTGTTATCTCGACTGGTTCAGAGCCCAAATGACAAGAATATATCCTTTATAGAATTACAAATGTAGCTGAAAATTTTCTGAATGTATTTCCATTCTCTTTTTCTTATAGGATGCAAAATGGAAGGTGGTGTAGTAACTTATTTTGTACTTTTATAGCAATTAATATTAATATTTACACTCATTCGCTTGCTTTTCGTAACCCAAAATATCACAAGTCTGGCACAATATTTTACATATTGCTAGCATATGACAATTTGAAATATCTAACATACATTTCTTTATAAACATATCCAACTAATATCGTTACAAAAATTCACTGCCGTCTTTTTTTTATTTTCTCGCTTTTGTCGTGTCTGAATAATACATTGCTGGTCACGTTGTAAGCTCAGGCAGTGCCGAGGTTAGCAAGACAGAAAAAAAGCCCACGATGGAAACTATCCGGGGGGAAAATGACAGCGGCCGGTTAGCTTAGCCCGGGACACAGTCTTCCTGGACACGCAACGTCTCGCCCTTTTGGTCATTCGTTGAAAACTAATGAAACGCAGGTCGGAGTTGGAAAAATACCCAAAATCCTTTGAATATATTTACACACAAACATGAACCGAAAGCACGAGTTTTAAAAAAAAAACAACCTAAAGAGTCAAATTCAAAGCAGGAATAATAATAGTTGTTTTTTCTTTTTTTAATGCTTCAGGTTTCCATATATAGCTGTTTAGTTTTTTCCTCTTTTTCTTCTTTTTTTGGTTCTTCACAGATCCGTGTCAGGGTGGAGGGCTAATGAGAAGCTAACGCTGCTTCCCCCGGTGGGTTTATGGCACAAAAGC